AAGCAGAGTAACACTCCCAGTTATCTCTAACAGCTTTACAACTTAAAAAGAAACAAACAAACAAAAAGCTCCCACCACCCCCGAAAAACCCAACAATACTTAAAACATTTATTATGAAAGCACTGCTTTTTAAAAGTGTTATTCTTATGAGTATTATCATCATCCAGTGACCCTTGCTTAAAGAACTGTTTAGCTGGAAGTCTTGAATGAAATAGCTTTGTCATGCAGGATGAACTGAAGACAAACACCATCACCACCTCATTTAGCAGCATAAAAATAAGAGTAGCATTATACATCTTGTTGTCAAGGAATGGTTTGCAAAAGGAACCACAATGATCACAATAATGCAAAAACTAACTCAAAGCACACAGTTTGATAACAAAACATTTTCAAAATTCCAGCACTGATATAGAAGATACTCATATTATTCAACTTCAAATTACTCATATTCTATAGGCATGTGTGAATTTTTATATATACATACGTATATATGTACACATACATATATACGTATGTATATGCGCATATACATACATACACGTGTGTGTGTGTATATATATGAATCCTTAATGTTAAATGAATTTTGGAGAACATACCAAGTCACCAAAATCTAACAAACCATGATGAAATCAATAGCCATATATTGAAAAGAATCAGAGGACTAGAGTGATAATCAAGTTTAGAATGTTTTCTTGAAGAATTTGCTCAAGCTGCACATGCCTGGCATATAGCAATGTTTAAATCCAGTTTCAGAAATAATAAATAGGGTTCTAAATGTAAGAAGTGTTTGTTACGCACATCATTTTCTTCTCTGTCAATCTTGAAATTTTTACAAAGACCGTTTACTTGAATCTTTTTAAATTCCCCTGTGCGGATTTATTCATGTAAAGTCTTTTAATTAGAAGACCACAAATTGTAACAGTTACAGTTCAGTCAGAATAAAAAATTGCCCTTGACTCAAGAGCCAGTACAAGGGATGCTTTCAGCACCAAACGACAGTTATTGCAAAATCACAGACAGAATTAATAGGGGTCTTTCAATTTAACAGCAGAAGTTTAATATACACAGAGAGACCCAGACATACTTCTTTTTCAGGACTTAAAAAAAAAAAACCCACCCCTGACTATAGTGTGCTAATAAATATACATTAAAAGATTATAAAGTTAATAAAAACTAAATGACAGCAATGAAACATGGGAGATGTTTACATTCCTAAACATTTCATTTATAGCTTTTAAGCAGCATTGCAGACTAAGTTAAAAAAAATGCAGCCTTTTTTGATAGGTTTGCAAGTTATTCAAATAATGTCTACTGAAAGGCACCTCTGAGAATTTCTGTTTCAACAGCTAAAACTGAAGTCTTATCTGGAAAAGAATGGCAGCATAAAACCAAGAATGTAAATACAGTTGTAGTTTAAAATTCTTAGTGCATACCAAAACATAAAAGCTCTTTGTTCCACTCTCCTTTAAACTGGCATGGATGGCTTGCTGTGAGATCCACCTGATCTAGTCTGGAGATTGGCGTGCTACCTATGGTGGAAGTGTACTGTTATGAAAAGAAGCATTACTAGGGAAGCAGTAGAACATTTCTTTTCCATGGCTACATTCCTGGGGATGCAAGACAGTCAAAACAAACCCAACTGTCATCACTAGCACACCGACAGCAAGAATCAGGCAGGATATGAGGTTATCTGAATGGTTCCATCGCTCTTTGGACAGCCTTAGATAACACGCTGTTGGGATGATAAAAACAAGTGGGGTAGCACTCAGAACTCCCTGTGTGTGGGAAACAACAACAGAAAAAACCCTCATAAGCATGTATATTTAGATGTGAAGAACAAAAACCTAAATTTTTAAATGGTTGTGGTTAGATTGATGCAACAGTAAGGCCAGAGAATAGAGGCCTTTTCCAGTGTGGCTACATGGAAAACTTTTTCAAAGTCACAAATAACTTGCAAAAATATCTGTAAAACTATTTGAAATAATTCAGATTTATTTAAATACTTTTGCTTTGCTGATTCAGAATAATATTTCATGTTGCAAGTACTATTGTCTGATTACCAGAAGTTTCTCAGCTTCAGAAGTACAGTAAAGGCCCAAACATAATAGTTCTGCAATACTGTAACTGACTTAAAATATTTAAGATCGTTCCATGTACGAGTCTAGATATAATACTGCCTTAAAGAAAAAAAAAGTGGAAACATTATGTAGCAGTTCAAAGAATTCTGATCAATTTCTACATTTATGATTTAGGTTGACTTCCCTATGAAAGCAAAGTTCCCTTTGAGAGAGTAGACACGCCCCCCCCCCCCTTCTTTTTCTCCCCCCCTTAAAAATTTACCTCCTCTGTAAATGCCCTCCTAGATAGGGATAGATAAAAAGCACCTGCTTAAATGCTTTTTATAGTAAAGCCACTGCAGATTAACATGAGTTACATGCCAAAAGAGAGCATTTTTATGCAGAAATTTTGAACATTTACTTTGTCACGTACTTAACAAATGTTATGTTTCAACTTAATCATGGTGAGGTAGTAATACAGCCTACTGAATATCTTTGCATCATTATTTTTATGAACTTTTGTATATTTTTATGGTAGAATCTGTTAACAGTGTGTACTGTACTAACAGCATCAAAAATAGGTACATGCACGAAGTATCATCTTCATAAAAACTGAGACTCAGACCCTTGACTCCTGTACGACTGAACGGTTTCCCTGGGGAATTACCATAGGGCAAACGCAATGGCTTGTGTTTTGTTTTAAAACCAGAAAGCAAGGAAAAAGCAAGCAGAGTCAGAGAAACAGCAGCAAATGCCATCTGTGGTGAAGAGCCAAACGACAGCTCTTCTGCTGGACAGAACACCTGTTGAGAAGACAGATCATCTTTCTTTCATGTGTAAAGACTCTGCCTATTCATTTTTCTCTACTGGTGGATATCAAGACTGAACTATCTTTCTAAGCGTAATGATTACATCTGATAAATACATACAGCTGTACTGTCAAATTCTCTCTTAAAGAGGAAAAAAAAACCCAACCCACAAGATATAAGCTACCCACTCAAATGCCTGGCTATCAACTTCTATTTCTAACTGAATCAAGCTATCAGCTTGACTATTGAGTAATTGCTTAGGCCTCGCTGGGTAAAGATATTGCATTGATGGAATGTTTGCTTTTGAGTGATTATTTTAAAATAATTTAATTCCAAATAGGAATCCCATGTATTTATTCATGCTAGAAAGACTCACTGGCAGTTCTCTGGTGTAAATTTATTCTTAACATATTATACCATATAATAAATGTAAAAGACATATACAGACATATATGGGCACACATAGCTAATCAGGTTCATTATACCCGTATTTGGATATTTGGCCAGAATAGGCATGTGTGTATGCATGCACACATTTAAATACTTTCACTGGTGTGTATATACACACACAGGTGAATTTTCTGCACTTGTAATGTAAAAACAGAGGGGAAAAAAGATAGAAAAGAAGTTACCAACAGATGCCATGAATGAGAAATTTTAATGGAAACATACATCCTCACCAAACCAATAGGAATATTGTCTATTTTGAGATAGTTATAATTTGGAAAGGTTTAACTGAGAAGAAACTATGTAGGTAATTATTTTAAATAGAGGGTAATTGGATAGCTTATCTGAATATTCAGACCTGTTCTATAATATTAGTGCAAGCATGACCTGCTAAATCACTGCTACAAAATCGCTCATTACTGCTTGGTTAGCAGATAAATGGCACTGTGGATCAGAACAATGTACATGTACCATAATGTACATACAAATACATGTATCATGTAGTATAAAGAACAACTCCCTCCGGTTTTTTCATCAGTTTTAGGTAAGCATGCAGTATATGGCTTGAAATTGTTAACGAATGCATGGACAATGACGTAAGGAGGCAATTCTAAAATATTTCTATAAAGAAGCAAAGGCTGCCCTTAAAAAGCTTTCTCCACCTTCTAACTTTTATATCCTGGAGTATGGTTATTTCCACATCTGATTTATTTATTAAAAATAGCTGACCTGAAATTGAAGGTAAACTGTTAAGATAAACAATGTTTATCATAAATGTAGATTGGATTTTTTTTTTTAACATTTCCTTTGATTAAATGTACATTCTGTACCAAAACAGACTGACTTCATCTGGTAAGTCTACTTTGCTAACTAGTAGTCTAGGACTCCAGTAGACTACATGGCAGTTCCGGCCAATCAAAAAAGTTACATAAATGTGTTAAAACTGGTTCAAATCAATAAGTGCCTTGCGTGGCCTGCCTGGTAAGCTCCATCTCTGCTATGACGCAATACCAGACACAAGAATGTTTACTGGCAAACAAAGCAGTTTTCTCCTAAAAATCATACACTTAGGTTATGAAATTACTCAGTTTTTCTCCCTGTTAAGCCCAAAGCAGGGAAAAATTCCAGTTACTATCTCTGTGGTCTCACTACTTCTGGTTCGTTCGTTCTTTCTTTCCACCCCACCCTACCCCCCCTTTGTTTTTTGCCCCTTTGGCACAAGGCAGTCATTAGGATCTACCCCAGTGTTTAGTAATTTGCCAACTTCATCAGAAGCAGGGATTAGAGAAAGAAATGCTAGATTCAATCCTGCAATACAGTTAGGATGAGTATTTTAGTGATTTCCACTGCAGTTTAAATACATTTGGTTAAGTCACAGTCACTTGCCATCTCTCCAGAACTGTTCTAAAAGCCCTCCCCAACCATATGAACTTTACTTCCTGAACTTCCTTTCTCCTTTAATTACCCAATTTTGAAGCAGTGAATAATTCCCTTTTTTCCTACTAACATTTCTACTGATTACTATGTTGAATTACATAAGCTTTTCAGTAGAGCTGTGGATTTTTCAGAGTTCTGTGTTACAAAAAAGTGATTTATTAAATAAAAGAGTATACAGGTTCACTTACATTCAGTTCTAAAACTATTCCAAGGCAATCATACACTAATGATACACCAGTTGCCACAGCAATGATAACTATTGTCACAACAATATGGAAAACTGTTGAGAGGTTCCCATGGAAAACCACATTGGCGATCACCTGAAACAGAACCACAATTTTAAACCTTGATTTTGCTCTTTATGTTAACAAACAGCTTATTCCAAATCTTCTAACCTTAGGAAACTAAAAGAATAGGTGAGAATACACTGACTGAACTTCACGTATCTTGCTTCAAGAAAACATCTTAATCCGCTTCCAGAAATAACTCGTAACAAGCATTATGAAAATTGCAGAACACTTGCAAGACTGACTCAGTTATACCTGCAGGATATAGGGTACACTTACTTTCTTCTCATTTGCCCATTATAGAATAAAAACCACTTACAATTATTTATTGAACAGATGGATTTCCTAGATGGAGATACTTGCACAAAGCAAAACTAGTAAGCATGATAAATATGCTATTTTTGGCTATTCTCAACATAACAACAACAGTGACATTTATGCCAAACTTGGAATTTTAAGCAGTCCTGGTATTATTAAGTAATTATTAATCTAATATTGGATAATATTATAATAAATGTAATACAACATTATATTGCCAGAATCTAAACAGTACAACTAGTACCTCATACAGCAGCAGACAGGATATGCGGATATTTATTACAGATCAACTACTGACTTCAGCTACAATATGTATTAATAATGTGAGAATATTAATATATATCAACATTGTTAAAGGGAGAATGGAACAAATTCTTACCTCTCTGGTCACAAAACATTCGAGGGGGAAGGTCAGAATTACAGTAACTCCATAACAAAACCTTCCAAATGTAGCAAGGTTGTCATCTCTACAGTAGTTTTCAAATATATCTCCTGAGGCATAGCAAAACATCAATTAGTTTGAACTTCATGTCATTTGCCTATTTGCAAACTGAAGTGTAAGTTACTGGAGTAACTGAGACTTTCTGATCCCCTCTCTTGACACGTATCAAGAAACTAGTTACAGTCACAAATTACATCCAAGAGGAACTCTCACCCTATCCTGCTAGTAGCAGTGTTTTTATTTCAAGTAGCATTTATCTTTCAAAAATATTTTAACATATACACATTAGAGTTTGTCATCTGTTATCTTCCCCTTAGCACAGATTTTGTATGAGATGGTGGTGTTTGTTTAAATAAATATGTGACAGATTCAGAAAGAAAGCTTGTATATAAAAGATACATTTCCTTTAAAAATGCAATTCCTCTAACAGCAATTACACAAGGAAGACCAGGGAGTTCCCTCTGGAGAACTGCATTTCCCTGATAGTGTCTAATCATAGCTGGTAAGCTGCAGTGAAGAATTTCAAATATTCTGACCCTGAAAGCCCATTATAAACATATGGATTATTACCTAGCAAATCTTCTTACACCTAACAACAAAAGCACTGCTAGAGAATTCAAATCATCATCTTGCTTAGTGTTTACCACAAAGAATCTGGAATAATGATCTCTGAGGCGCAAGAGATACTGCAAGACAGTGATCAGATGATCTACCAGGTCTTTCCTACCCGACTACTATACTGTCTTAGGATTTACTAGTTTTAGGATCACAATGGCACTGAAGAAGCAGTAAGGCGTACTTTTGAAAACAGCCAAAAGATTTTGACAGGGGAGGCAGAAGGTAGGCTGGAACCTGCTTACAGTAGAGTCATATGCTGAGGGATAGCTGCAGTCAGACCTTTCTATACTTGAAATATGTCTGCCAGTTTGCACTTAACCTATCTACAGTTGCATCAGTTAATTATTCTGCATAAACAGCACTGGAGGCAGGAAAAAAGGAGGACAGACCAATCAATAACCCACATCCTAGAATTCCTCTGTTCTCAACTACATGCTGCTGCTCATCAAGAAAGGAAAAAGCTTAGAAGCCGCATTCTACAGTTTAGAACAGCACTATTAAATAACAGAAAATCTGCTTGCTCATGAAATGTGTATTTCTCCTGAAGAAGCTAATACACTGAACAAACTTATGCCTTGTTCTTCTGAAAGCACCTTTTCCACTTCAACAAAATGATGTTAAACAGTATGATGTGACACTGATTATATGTATTTATACATATATGTATATTCATATACACAGAGGTGACAGTAGCATTAGTCATAGCAGAACAGCTGTTGTAAAGACAGGCAATATCTCTAAGTCAGAGCTAGGATGCTATATTAGCACAGATGGGAAAAGATACAGGAGAATGTACAGAAATATATGCCAGGCACCCTGTAGAAAAATCAAGGCAATTTTTGTTCTTACTGCTCTCTGGTAGTGGACCATGTGGCTAAATTATAGATGTTTAGAACTCAGAATTATTTTGATTATGGAAGTATTCAAAGGGAACTTTCACCGGTGAGGCTTACACTTGGGGATCTGACACCTATTAGCATATAGCTGCCATCTTTGTATCCTGTTTTGGTTGTTGGGTAACTACAAGGAATGTCCTAACTATTTCTGTCCAAACATAGTACCATTTTTTGGCATTTTTACAATCAAACAGCAAAAGTCAGACAGAAAGGCAGAAATGTAAGGATTAGAGCAAGCATCAAAATTGAAGGATAAGCAGTTTACCTTCTGCGTATCCTGTAAAAGTCATATATCCACATGCAGCAAACACTACACTGATAACAACAGCGAGTGAGACAGACACATGTGTGACTCGAGACCAGTTCTTTAATGTGGGTTCTTCCAGAGACCCATATATTAAAAAGCTGTTATGGTTGCAGATGAATGCTGAAACACACAAAACAGTTAAAGCAAATGTATGAATTCATGCATATATGCATATAAAATAAATTTACGGAGTGTATATTCCAAGGTAGGAGACACAGCACAGTTTGAATCCACTCATTATTAAATACAAACACTAATCCTGCAACAAGTGGCAAAGACAAGTGGCTTGAATTTTTACTTATTTGATTTGATGAAGGTTTACATTCATCCCTGAGATGATTCTGATTACATTACTCTGAAATGCCACACCATTTCGCACCCTGCCCACCTCCATTCCACCTCTATTTCCTCTTCCTGCTCTTCTTTTGCTTAAGAACCCAACAGCAGTTTTGAGATTTTTTTTTTTTTAAATCCACAGAGCCATTTGCCGCTTTCAGACTTCATAGGGCATCCATTTTAGGCAGCAGCAAGCATTGGGAGGCCTCAGATTATCACAGCGTTAACAAGAAGTAATATACCAGACCCTCCAGCCAGGAACGGATTTTAGAATGAGGATAATGGAGGTGAGTTTAGACTCACCTGAATGGTTCATTGTGAGAAATGGGAAGCAAGAGACACTCTCTAGCAAACGTATGCATTGCAGTCTAAGATTTTTCTGTTAGAGGTTATCCAAGAGAATGCAGAACGATAACAGCCGCCTCACTTTATCAATTAGACTAATCCTATTGATGCAGGTGTTTTAAGATGATCTGGACAGTTGAGCTGGATTCACGTGCCACACCACTCTCTCTTCTACAGTAGCAATAGCCTCTATAGGGCCAGATGGGCAATGGATGGGGATAATGTCTTAAACCATAACAATTAAATTCACCTATGGATGACTCAAAGTCAACTTCATTTTTTTCTAAACAAACTTCACATGAATGTAAAAAAAAATTACAATTAAAAAAATGCAATTTCTAGGTCCAAAATATTAAATAATTTCTTACAGTTGATCTGAATATTGAAAATACAAAAAAAAAATTACTTACCAAATGACATCACCCCAACGGCTTGTATGGCATTTGATTTTGCAAATATCCATGCATTTTCTGATTTGGGTCTAAAACAGACATTTATTTTAATAGATTATCCTCTTTCTAACTATCAGTTATTAAAAATAATTTAAAATACTATGCTGTAACACAGAATTGCTAGTCAGATCTCCAGAACTCTCTGAAGTAGGCCACAGTGTTCATCAAGAATAAGTTGAAACTAGGGAGATACCCTTCTCACCTCCCTTGTTTTGATTAAAGTATTTCTGTAATCAGTTTTTACAGCCAAAAATATCAGCCTGTTTCAGTGACCAGTTTTATAAATAAACTCTTCAAGTCATCATATACCAAGAAACAGCAACAAGGAAGGTAAAAGCTGTAACTGATTCTGGCTAAGGTTATCTCAACCCCAAATCTCTTCTGACTATTTAGAGGCAATTTCTTCCTTTGAACTCGCAGATGTAATCTATGCAATCTAGAGATACTTTTTTCCTAGACTACAAATCAAGTGAGGCAGTTTGCCTTTCTTTACATCTGTTCCAACTACTCCTCATAGTAAAGGGATTCTGCTAGTTCCCAAAGAAGTGATAAAATAAAGTATAAGAGAGTATATGGTGACTTTTATAATCAGGCAAGAATGCAGTATCCCCCACATTTGCTCCTCTAAGATAAACCCACAATTTTGGACCTGTGGTAATTGTAATTCTTACAGGAGGACCACAGAAAACCATCAGCAAACTTTGTTAAAATCCATTTGATGCATGAACTTCCTCTCTGAATAAAGAGCCAAAAAGAAGGAAATTGGGGACACGAAACATCCTTTTCCAGAACTACAATTTGCTAAAAATACCAAATGAAATTCACAAGCCAGTTGAACGTTATGTTTGTAATATTAAAGCACAGACAAAGGAACAGTACAGAGAGGCTTTCTCATAAAAAGTTGGCTGCTGCTGCCTTTGATTGCTCTGTTTTTATTTAGAGGGAAAGCTGCTGCCACCTGAGGCCTTAGCTGCTATTTTCCTACTGCCCAGGAAAGCAGTATGGCACTCATGCCAGCTCTGTGAAGGTAACAATGGCAGCTTTGTCTCTCCCTCTATCTGGTGATAACTAGCTTGTTTTGACAGCCGTAGTGGCATATGCTATGCTAGGTTTCATTGCTTTCAAATGTTTAAACTCCACCCCCACCCTCTAAAAAGAAAAAAAAGAACGAACCAAAACAGATGTTGGTGTTTCCCCTTTCAGAACTCTCATCTTACTATAATAGCTTACTATTTCTTGAGAGCTCAAATAGTCAGTCCTTCCTTTTCTATATTAAAAAAGCAGATGTAGCATCTAATGCACATCCAGTTCAGACTTAGAGCACCTTTTCGGCTCTTAAGCCGTGGTTGCTAAGCTTAACTTTGAAGTGAACAGAACCTGAGCATCAAAAATCAAGTTCAGTTTTTTGTCCTTAGTTGCAGTATGTTGTCTTGACTACTGTAACATACTGCTTCTAGTCTTAAGCAGCTGCATATAGCCCTCCTAAAACATTCTTAGCCTCAGCATGTAGATGTAATAAATACTATGGATGAAATAGAGATATCTGGTATTTGTCTTGTGAAATAGGAGTTCCGACCCGCTATAGCTGCTGTAGTTCCTTACATAGAATAGCCTTCTCTAACTTGATGCCACTCATTTCAAATCACTAGAAATGTCTGTGGACGATTCATATTCATAATTTTGAATGTATTTGTTTTCAGGAAAACATTCACATCTGATTGGAAAAAAAAAATCAGTAATATTCCAAAATAAAAATAGAATACAGAAAGCTCACATTACAACCATTCTATAACCACTAGAGGTCAGCTTTGATATCAAACATACAGAATGAAAATTTGTTTTATTATCTTTTGACAACAGAATTTGTGAAAGTCTCCTTACCCCCTTCCCTATTAATAATTAACACGTAGATTACCTAATACCCTATAAACCAAAATATTTTTAAAATGCACAGAAATAAAGAATGCTTTTGGCTGAAACACATTTAATTTCTGTGAAAATGGTACATCCTGTGCAACAGTACAACTATATTATAAGCTCCTATAAATAGGGTTTTAAAAAAAATGGAATGTCAAAAGCATGCGAATTTCAGTTGAAACATTTTGAATAAAGTGGCCAAATAATCAACTGGAAAAAAAAAAAAAAAAAATCACAGGAGCTAGTTTTCCTCCTGCACAGTGTTAGCTTATGCACTAGCAATATGCAACAGACCAAAATACAGCTTTGCTTTATGGATGAATGACAAATCAGATTAGGAGTATTCTCTGTGGGGAAAAAAATCCAAAAGAAAAAAATCCTGCTTATTTAGCAGCATAAGAAGATAACGTCCTTCCATGCTAGTTGTGGAATGGAGGAAGAATTTCAGATCCATGATTTGAACACTACCAGCAGACTGCAATGTCCTACAATGCATGTTGGTATAGATGACATATGCAACAATAAATGACTATTTCTTACAGTAAGCCATATACAGCTGCATGTGTTTTGAAAAACATTTTCATACCTTGGGACTAGAAGGATCTCGCACAGATGTGATATGTAAACTAGGAAGTGAAAGCAACACAGTAAGAAATTTCACTTCTGAGCATTTAGAACTAAGAGGCAACAGCTCTAGAGTTCTGACCATGTCAACAACAAATCACCCCCAAGTCCAGTCTGCAGGACATACAGACTTATGCAAAGCTCCTGGAAAAGGGTGCGGGTGACACGAAAGTGTCTCTATAAAATAAGACTTCAGACTGGGAAAGATAAAATTGTGTCAGGAAACAGTAGCTGTTAGTTATGGAAGAACTATACAGTGAATAATCACTTAAAATGACTCACAAGACAAAGGGCATCTAATGGAAATATCAAGTGTCAAGGTAAACATACATACATTCATATAAATACTTGCATCTGTGTAGGCAGATGCATACATAGGCTGAAAGAGTATCACAAGAATAGCAGGTAACACTATACCTATTTTGCTTTTTCAATCCTGCTGCTACTGTTCAAGATGGATTTTTTTTTTTTTTTCCCTTGAGAAGGACCTTTGTTCTGACCAGTTTGACCTACATTCTTGTTAGGAATTGTTAGGGGAAGATTTTAACTTCTGCTCATACAAGAATAGCAGTAGCTGCAAATATCCATGAATGACAAAACCAGCTAGCTTACTGCTCCTCCCTCACTGTATAAAAGCACAGGCTATGCCTGCATGAACACAAAATTTTTTTCATGCTGGAGAAGTAGTTAGATGAAACACAATGAAAGTTAACAGAATAAATACATTTGTGATACTAAATGCATTTGTTGAGAGCGGTACTGTCTATCATATATAGTAGAAGTTGTAACACAAAGTAAAAGCTAAGAGGTAGTATAACTGTGATTTTTGGAACGAAAATAATAAAAGATCAAATGAAAATACATTCCAAGGGAGATCCCAGACAGGAAGAAGTCTCAGCTGAAAGTAAGACAACAGCAAGACAGACTGACAATTAGAACTGTCCATAGGAAGGTAGTGAAACCTAGCAATGAAGAAAGCCTAGAGGTTAAGAAAATAAGGCTCTACTCAGTCTTCAGTATACTTAAGGGAAAGTATAGCATAATAAACATGCTAGTGAGTTCAAAAAGGTTTTGAAAATATTCATGTTTATCTACATAAGAACAGGGAAAAATGAAAAGAACAAATGAACCAGGCAAAGTTTAAGACCTCCTAACAGAGTAAAAGGCATTTCACATCCCCATCACGAGTATGAGTTGGAGAAATTTGTTTGGCAGTCTAAAACAGCGTATCTTCTACTTCTTTTAAAACATTTACAGTATAATATTCCCCATCTTAAGATCCATGCTATGCAAAAATCTTTTCTGTCATTTATGTAGAAATGCTGCCAAATATAATACAGCAGCAGAGTGCATCAGAAGCAAACTACCTTGAAGGAGGGCAAGAGAAACATACATCCCTGATCTCAACCCAGCTTGCAGGTATGAAACACTGACTGGAAAAAAAAAAAAGTTAATTTTTAGAGGGAAGCAAAGTCATATGTTTGACAGGGGAGCTACATGTTGGAATGAGCAAAAGACGTCCACTGTTTTGGATTGAAGATCAGTTACAAACACCAAGTTTAGGTGCAAACCGATAGTTATCAAAATAATCCAGGAACACATGGCAGATTAATTCAGGTTTAATTCGATCATTTAGACATTTAGGAAACTAACTGTAAAATTTCAATTCAATTACATTCTAAGGTAAAAATACCTTTTTAGTTTTTGTTTAAACTTCAAAAGTTTAAAGATACTGAAAAAGTTTATAAATCCTGAATATAACTTCAATCAATATAATGGAAAGAAAATGAGTAATGCTCACATCAGCCTTGAATTTTATATTAATCAAAGTCATTTTGGTTGTTAAAGAACACAGACGAGGCAAAGCTGCATGTCATCCCCACTTAGTTACAGCTGCTTTAACTCCTCTTTCTTCCTTAATGATCTACTTAGCAGTTCTGTAAATATATGGTAGCTTAGGTTTTATTTTTTAATTTCATCACACATTAAAGTTCATCTTTGGTTACTATTGGATTATTTATATGAAGGAAAGAATCAGCTTTCTACTTTCAAGTTATTTTCCTGAACACTTGGTGTTTCATCCCTGTGATCAGCTGCCAGTTGAGTAATTCTCACATCCTATTTATGTGTAGCAGATGCTCTTGAAGTTTTTCCTAGAGATTCATGTATTATGCAGACACTGACATCATGACATTCTTTCCAAAAGAACACCAAACTGAAATGATCCATCTTTATACACTACATAAAATACTGCTTTTTACAGCAATGAATGTTAGTTTTGGCTTTGAAGCATGAAGTTATTTTATACAGTATTAACATACTGTACATTTACAGTTTGAGATACTTCTAACCAATTGTTTTTGACCACAGTAGAAAAATACTCAGCTATGAGCAGGCGGAAATAAAAAAAAAAAAGTACCTCGGTTTCCTATTTTTCATAAGAGGAAATAAATTAAACCAAATAATCCCTCATCATACTTTTTTTTTTTCTTGAGAACTAACAAGAAAATAACATTCCTATAATGTCCCTGGACAACACGCTCCACTCCCAAAGCAACTAAACAAATAAAATAAAAATGCAATACTCCAAAGACTTATAATTGCTGTTTTTCAGCCTATAATTTCAAGCACATCAAATCATTAAAATAGTAATAAAGTTGTTGTTTTGCTGATGGCCTAACACATTGCAGAAAGTTCCTAGGAAAGATAATATTCTCTGTTGTCCAAATAATAGATAAAATTTTCAACTAGAACATGAATTGCATGTAAGCAAAAAGAGTTTTATCATTCCCACATAATCTTCTTGTACCTCTCAAAGGGAAGCAATCTTCACTTTGAAAAATCTAAAGGTAAGTGAAAACTGATTACTACTCAGAGAGTAATTATTGAAGTGGGAAGATATCTGAATGGGATTCCAGTGGAACATGACCTGAGTCCAGCACTTTTGAATGTATTCAGCAGTAACTTGAATGATAGAACAAAAAGTAAGAAGCATCCTTAACAGAAAGCTTGCAATGTGCAGTTACACAAGCATGTGTTAACACAAGCACCCTAGAGAACAGGGTGAAAAATCATAAATATGTTGACAAATGGAGAAATCGCCTGATAAAGCAGTATTCAATCCTGTAATGACAAATTCTACAGTTATGCAGGGGGAAAAAAAGGCTTCACGAGAACAGGGCAGGGGGGAACAAGCAAAAAAAAACCCAAACTTCACAAGAACAGAGTAAAAGAAATGAAAAATTGCCAGCTCACAGTTCTGCAGAGAAGGGCTTGGCACTTCTGTTAGACTGCAAACTCAAGGCATGTCCACAATGTCATGCTATTTTCCAAAGAGGCAAACATCAAACTAGGTTACATAAACTGGCAATCCCCAAAAGACATACTTGAAAGGGACCTCAAGACATTTCGAATGTAAAATACCTCAATCTTTCTTCTCTGCTTCTCAATAGGAATACCACAGGCATTTGGGGCACCACGATATCACTTTAATTTACAGAGAACTTAAGGCAGTCATTGAGAATGATCAGTAGCCCAGGAAATGACAAGAAGAGTTTGTTTAGTCTATAGAAAGGATCACCAAAGGGGGGCAAGTTACAGCTCTTTACAGGTGTTTTTCAAGCATTTGAAAAAGAATGAACAGTTTGCTGTCCATATCCACGTGGTTAGGCCAAGAAGCAATCAAGAAGCAATCGACATGAAATGCAGTAAAAGAGACGTACGATAGATACACATTTAGGAAGAATTCACAAGAAAAGGCTAGTTGAGAACTGGAATGGGAAATCATGGAATTGCCAAGAACAAACTAGACAATCACCTGTCATCAGTGACAAGCATACAATCAGTTCTGCAGTGTAACAATGGTAAGGGATTAAATATTCTCTCTTGACCCCATCAAGCCTTCATCTAGGATTGTACAAATTCTTTTCCTATATGACAGATCTGAGGATTGTTTCATAATCGTGATTTTTTTTAAATCTCCGAAAACTTCAACTTCTATTTTATTTTAATAAGGATTCACAGTAAATGTGTTACTTACTTGTTTCACTTGTCATAATACTATGATGGGACCCATATTAAAATTTATTAGTGTTCTTCATTCTCATTGCAGAAAAAGAGATGGCATATCATTATACCATTAACAAAATATTAGGAGAGGGTTTTAATAATTAAAGTATATGTCTATTTCTAACTGTAAAACACAAATAGTAAAAATAGACATCGATAGAATGTTTGTGAGGCAAAAAATTCTGATTAACAGTTTATCAACTTGCTAGATGCATTTTTGAAAACAAGAAGTGTAAAGGCAAAAATGGAAGTCTCTAAAGAATTAAAAAGTAAAACTTCAAGAATCACTCAAAACCCAACATTACTTATTGTAAGAAAAAATAAAGCCACGCATTCCATAATTCTCAGTGCATCACAACTGTTGAGAAGAAATGTTACCATAGTAACAAGGTCATCAGTAACCATTTTATATAGCTTCTTCCTTTTTTGACAGGGGATTTTGAGATTACCCTTTCAAATACCCCTTTAACACACAGTGTGAAAAACATGCTGCTTCAGAAAGATGATGGGGGGGAAGTGCCACACTGTTCTGAGTGCATTGTTTTATGGATGATAGACAACATCATCTGGTATAACTTTAGAAACTGCTATTCTAGCCATCTTCCTAGCATTAAATGTGAATGCCCTGCAATTAACCCACGTATCACAGCAGTAACACAAATGAACAATTATGCATAACACTGCTGAAACAATCATGGAGGAAGAATCCACTTCTTACAGAAACATTAGAAATAGTATACAAAACTATTCCAATAAATAAAAAAGCACATTCAGAAAAAAAGTTCGTTGTCTTTATTAATATATCTTCACATTTAAAGGATAAGGAAAAAGGCAGACATTCTAGGCCATAAAGGAAAGATAATAGATTCATAACACTTTCTTGCAATATAATTATAAAAATATTGCCACAACACACATTCATGCGTACTAAGTTGTCTAGAACACTCCAATGTCCAATGTTAAGTACCACTTCCAGAGTATGAGTGGTACTTCCACTTCTGGAAACCAGTTTTGCATGCTTATATTTTTGTTTTCTCAAATGATAAAGTTTTTATAATTGTGTTCTCTTTTTTCTTCTCATTATTTGTATTCAGTTTTTATTATGAAATCATTATATTAACAGAAGAAGAAATATTCCTAAGATACTATCTATTTTAACATTGTAAATATAGGCCATCTGACAATAATGGAAAAAATTAAAGATTTCTCAAATGACAAACAACCTCACATGCCCATTCAGGAGCCACCTGCTATTAGCCATATCACCCGCAATTTCCAATTAATCTGTAGGGTTTTTGAGACTTGTTCTAAATTTGCTTATGTGCAATAGAAGGGAAAAAAAAGGATAAAGTATGTTTTAGCAGTTCATTTTGTATTACTGTTAATACAGATCTATTTTTTCAATTATCTGTCTCTCCCAAAACAGCCATGTTCCAAAACTATGCAAATATATGTAATAGTGAAATAACAGATTACATATGATCAAAAATTAACTTTGTGGCAAGTGTAAGAATACTCACACTTGTGGACTGAATGTTACTGTTCTCACCATCACAATAATCAGGATGACAATGGTTAAAATCAGAGAAATAAGAGATACCTGTAAAGGCATAAACACAAATTCAATCAGTAAGCTGCTGAAAGGTTGTCCTCTTAGCAGCATAATGTATTTTTTTTTAAAGATTAATTAACAAGCAAGTAAAGTTCTAAGTATCACATGTCAAATATTTATAATTAGAAAGCTTGTCCTATATCATCATCTTTTAATTTGTTATTCTTTTTGAGTAACTAGCCAATTGCAACTACTTGTCTAATTTTAAGTGCTATTCCCATTTAAACATCTCTAATCAACGGTGCTCAGCATTTCAAGATCAGGCCTATATCACCCAGTGCTTTACAAGATTTGAGTTCTACTAGCAGTAGATGGAAAAATTCCAGTGATTCATATGGAGACCAAAGTTTTGCTTAAACTATTCCAAGTTTTCCGATATTTCTTGGGACAGAAGACAGTCTGAACTTCTAAAATATTTAACATGCTCTAGCCAGATGTAATACAGTTCAAATACATTAAGTTATGACTGGCACTTATTTTCTAATGGCATATAGAAAAGTAAACCAAAAATCAACTGCTATTATGATTTACCTTTCCCAGTTTTGCTATGTCTCGATATAAAGATATAGGCAAGGTAAAGATGATGGTGGTAAGAAGAATTATGAAGTGACGGTCAGTAAGTACGTTACCTGGTCCAACTAAAGCAAAAAAGAAAATAATTTATTTCTCTAAGAGACTAACATGAGGAACAGCTTAGTTACATTTGAAAGGCTAGAAGCAACAAACTCTGATGTTGACCAGGCTTTTATCCCCTTTATTCAAGCTAAGTAACGCTGAAATAAAGACTAGGCATTAACTAACCTTGAGGAAGCCATACACAGCATGTGCATAATCACAAGAATTCTGCAAATTCAAACCAAATGCATAACATATGGGATATATTATACCAAAACTTGGAAGTCTGGCATTTCTACATATAGATTAATTTCTTTCATCATGCCAATGGTCAATGTTGGCAGACTGCAAGTAAAACATTCTACTACTTCTTTCTGCCATTTACTCTTCAGGATTTTTTGACACCGTGTGTTGAAATCAGTTTCTGTGCTGTTGAAGATAAGCAAATTCTTAAAGAATGATCCTAAAATAAACTAACTTTGAGGTTTCTTTTGAGCACCTCCTTTCTTGCTGTCAGCTGGCTTCCACTTGCAAAATACAGATTACCATGTGAAGGCAACAATAATGTTATAATATTCCCTGCAATCAGTGGGATTTATTTGTACAACTGGTGCTTTTTTCAAGCCAATGACAACTTAAAATAAAACATATCTCAGTTTCAGTCAGATTACCATGAATCATGGGCTTGAATGAAAGCTTGCTGAATAATTACGGCTGGAAAGTGACTGGCAATTGACACAAAAAGTCTGTGTTCAGTTACCTCTACTCTTTGGGAGATTATAATGCTTTCCCATCTATTTCCAGGCAGGCATTCTACCAGCCAGGTGAAAAGATGTGCCATGCTGGGGGTTTCTCCTATTACAGAATTCATATTGTATATAAATTATTAGATATTCACTGTCACTATCAATCTGAACAGGTATTCACAGAACAACAGAGTGTGACAGTTAAAACTGCATCCACACCTTGCAGGCTTCACCTGCTGAAAATTACAGTCCTCCTGTGGAAATCAAACAGTTCATACAAACAGTAATTTCCACTTCATTGCAGACATGTTCTTTTTAGTTTAATTTACCAGTGAAGAATGTTTTAATTTAGCTGGCTTTGTGCTAAAGTAGATGACAAATTGCTCCACTGATTCTGCTGTGAAAACTTAGAGCAGAGGAAGGGTAACAAGTGCATGAGTTAAAAAGCTCAAAATGCCACATCAGGTTTCGCAGTGAATATCTAAGAGAAGTGAAAGTTACATATGCAGTTCATGACCAACTATTACAGATATGCTTAAGTAAGCATTAAATCCATTATATTATTTGCAAGTCATCCAGAATTATTCACTAGATAAAGTGCAGTTTCAGTATTCAAATGATTATTATAGGAAATATCTAAAAAAGATGACAAAATGTGATGACTTTGTAAATATACCACTGTGGAAGACTCCTTCTATTTGCTTAATACTTCACTGAAACATGTGGTCTCTTCACTAACACTGAGTCCAATGATAACCGAGGACTAGGATTCATAGTTTTTATTTGAGAAAGACTTATTAAAAAAAAAACAACACAAAAAAATCCACTCACACAAATATGCTTCAAGTTCTTAACTTGAACTATATTTAAGAGTAATTTAGAAGAAAAGTAACAGGTAAGACTTCAGACTGACACAAGATGGTAATCCTTGAATACTTATCCTATATTCCCATCCAATACATTTTCCCCATTCTGAATTTTTTAAATGCATCTTACCTCCAGGAATTCTCTGAAAAACTTTAGTTAAAGTGTCTCCTGTTATTATGTTGTAACTGATCATAGCTTAAAGAAAATAAAATTTTTTGTTAGTACAAGTCAAATATGAAATATTTGACAAATATTTAATACATATATTTTGTAGACTTCAGGATTATATGCCACTGTCCCTTTTGTATGAATTTGGGCTAGCACCAACAACTTCTAAGTTTCAGGTTTAAAACAAAATTTAAAAAAAGTTCTTTAATGCTGTGTCGTCCCCCCCCTTTTTTTTTTTTTAAATACGTACAACCTAAGCAAGAATCCAGTCTGATAAGCAAGGCCGTTGTGCTGACTTGCCGTATAAACTTACTTCAGAAGAGGAAAAAAAGGCTTTTTAAAATTGTTTCCAACAGCAATCCTTTGTCAGTTTATTTTCAAATTCTTATTTCTATTTAGTAAAGTTCCTGTATTAATGTAACAACCAGTCCTGCAATCAAATGCACAGGACTTCCTAGCTCATGTAAAAAGTTCGCAAAATCTTTAAACCAGAAGAAAGTAGATGAAAATAGATTAAGATATCAGATATGGACTTCCATTCCTTCCTCTCATTAATAAGAACTGTGGCCTTAACATTAATATTTCATTCTTATCTTATTCTACACTAGAAGTGTGTATATGTGTGTGTATACATACACACAAAATATATTTATATACTTATGTGATCTTCACCATTTAGACAGCATACATATAGGTATTGACCTTAACTAATGTATAAATATTCACTGTTGTGAAATTGTAAGTCATTAACACTACTTATAGAAATAAATTCAAGCACATACATATGCATAACTAGTTCCATGGTAAGGACTGAGATCTTTACAATTCTTTTCCATATTCTCTAGGAAGCAGTAATTATACTCTTTTTTAAGTCAACATGTGTAACGTTGTTGCCTGCAGTAACAGTAACTTGCTCCCTTAAAAATCTCAGCTACCTGTAATAAATTCAGACTCATTATTCCCAAAGTAGGAATTTTGATCTGGGACTCTGTGGTCACCGAGTCTAGACTCTTGGTATCTCAAATTACCACCTCTTGCAGCCCCACGTGTGAAAATATCAAGCTTATTTAAGATTTAATTACGTTATTACTGTAGGGGACAGATTCAGAATATCACTTTATTTTAAACTTCAGGTCTAATTAATTCCTGCCCAGATTATACCTTTTACTATTTCTTCTTCAAAGGGGTCTTGACTGCCCAATTTCCTAGTAGCTCATTGGGTATGAGGATGAATTGATGCTTTTGAAGAGCAATGACAGCACATGATATTCAAGCAAGATCTGATCAGTAGCTTCTCCAATGACAGTAATACATAATCTTTGGAAAAAATATTAATTCAATATACTCCTAAAGTCATACTTTCCTTTTTTTTCGGGCACATCAAATCTGTGCTCTGTTACTCATTCTAGAACAGAATCTCTGCTTTGCTATTTCTCATAGCTACTTTTGTCATTAATTTTTAAGTGTGTGATCATGAATTTCTCTATTACATTTCAGTGCATTTTATTATTCTGGTCCTACAATTCATTGAATTCTTCCTCAGTCATTCTTCAGAACACACCAAGTAATTTTTAAATTTTTTTTTTTTTTAAAGGAAAGAGGCATATGCAGTATATTCTTTACAGAGTTCTTAATATTTAACCAGTGAAAGAATGAGGTAACGTGAAAAAGCTTGTTATTTATAAAACTTAAACGTTTACATTTTATGTGATCTTACCAATAAATGGATATAAAAATTGAAGAGTCGAAAGAATTAGATAACCTACAAGACCATACGTTTTTCTGACCAGCTCTTGATAGGTGTTGGTACCGGAGAGGTTTCCTCCTTTGATCAGTAATATAATGGAATAATCTGTTAAAATATAAAATTACTGTTAAAGACAGTATGAACCAACTTGTAGTTGCTTACTGCTCATCTTTTTCACTGCTTAAAAAAAAAAAGTCTGTAAAAAGGAAAACAGTGGCACTGGGAAGAGCAGGGATGAGAAAACTCACAAAGGATCTCAATCCACCAAAACCAGGAGTTATAGGCTCATACTGGAAGGAAATTCCAGCTTTCCCGATTACGGACGGCAGAAACAGACTCATTTTCATTGGTTTCCAGTATGGTCAAAGGGAACGAGAACTGTCACGAGCACCAAAAAAGGAAAATTTAATTAATAATGCAGAGGGTTCCCGAATGGATGGAGCATTTGGTTATATCCTGAAAGGGGGGTAAAACACAAGGACTGCCTGTCTCATGGAACTCTCAATCACTTTACTCAGCTATTTATCCAAGTTTGTGAAAGATAAAGCCTGGTTAGTATTTTCTGTCTTCTCCATTGTTTACAATAAAAATATTATAAACATTTTTATTGGAAACTTTTAAAATAAAACACATGCAAAGTGATTTATCTGGAAAACCATGAAGTAATGATCAGCCTTGAGACAGAGCTGATGTCACGGGTGGAATAACTCCCAGACTGAACCTCAACTTTTTATGAAGAACAGTTTGAAATACTGCTGTTATGTCAAGCTATGCTTTAGTATTCATTTGAGCACCATGGGATTTTTCCAGTCCAGATTAGTTACACCACAGAATTTATTACCTTAGTGAAGATGTCTTGACAGATAGTAGCTAGACCTCATCTCTTCCTCATGTGGCTTTCACTTACCTTGTAATCTATGCTGCAATAGGAAAAGTTCCTTTCTGTGAACAGTATTGGTGTTTATTATCTTCTGGGAATGACTAAAACTATGAAATTTTCAGTCTTTACAAAGGAAATTTCTAGCATTTGTTAATGTGAAAGCCAATCCAGAGATTCCCAGTAGCTTATGCAATTCTTACACAATATATACTTACACTATAATTGGGAGAAGACAAAAGCAGAGATACAGAAGTGTTCGTTATCTATTATTATCCGCAGGTCTTGAAGGAACTGGCGGATGAAGTTGCTAAGCCACTATCCGTCATATTTGAGAAGTCATGGCAGTCTGGTGAAGTTCCCACTGACTGGAAAAGGGGAAACATAACCCCCATTTTAAAAAGGGAAAAAAGGAAGACCCAGGGAACTACAGGCCAGTCAGTCTCACCTCTGTGCCTGGGAAGATCAGGGAAGAGATCCTCCTGGAAGCTATGCTAAGGCACATGGAGGACAGGGAGGGGATTCGAGACAGCCAACATGGCTTCACCAAGGGCAAGTCCTCCCTGACTAACCTAGTGGCCTTCTATGATGGAGTGACTACATCAGTGGACATGAGAAGGGCTACAGATGTCATCTATCTGGACCTCTGTAAGGCCTTTGACATGGTCCCCGACAACATCCTTCTCCCTAAACTGGAGAGGTATGGATTTGGTGGGTGGACTGTCTGGTAGATAAAGAAATGGTCTGCTGGAGTGCCACAGCAACAGTGCTGGGAACAAAGACAGTTTCTGTGTCCTGCTATTACATCCCATGCCATGGTGTTCTGTAGGGTGTAGAGAGTCGTTCAGTCTGCAGTGACTATAGGATGAACAAACTTATCTGGAGAAATAGAGAATCCAAGGGTTGCCTTGTATTTTAACTGGTGGTAAATGGAAAATAAACCATCTTCAGACAGTCTGCTTACTGCTGTTACTTTGTTCTGGGTGTTTAGTCCTTGCTTGGAAGCAGGGATATATGTATATGCTTTTTTTAAAAGCACTTTTTGTAATTGTGGCATCCCATGAACTATATTTTGTAAAATACTGTCTAACACCATAATATACATGACCTATGCAGTGTGAGCACCTCCTACCCCATGCAGGATACTTAACTATGGTATTTTCAGCTGTAATAAAAATAAAACAATAATTATGAATGCTTTGTACTGGAGAAGGGGGGACCACTCTCTGTCCCTCCTTCTCATGGCCAGCAGGTGGAGGGAGGGGATTCTGCCCCTCTACTCTGCTCTGGTGAGACCCCACCTGGAGTACTGCATCCAGCTCTGGAGCCCTCAGCATAAGAAAGGCACGGACCTGTTGGAGCGGGTCCAGAGGAGGGACCCAAAAATGATCAGGGGGGTGGAACACCTCTCCTCTGAAGAAAGGCTGAGAGAGTTGGGGTTGTTCAGCCTGGAGAAGAGAAGGCTTTGGGGAGA